CTGCGTTGGGAAAAAAACAATGTTGTGGAAGCATCTAATACATTCTCAGTGCTACCCGACGATTGTTTGAAGTTCGACTACTGGGAACAACACGACGAACGACACAAGGAAGGTATGACTATTGTTGTTGTTGGGGATAGCCAAGTTAGGTATATGGATAGGGGCGTTCTGCTTGAAGACTGGCGGTAGGAGACAGAGAGAGAGTTTGCTTTCCTGGGGCTGGGAGAGATGGAGGATATTTGTTAGCCCGTCTGGATGTACATGAGAGGTAATTGGAGCAATCCTATTATTCTGTCTCAGTGCTGGAGGCAACGATGTTGGCAGAAATGTAGGAGTGAAGACCGAATAGCAGGTATAGGTCAGCATAGAAAAGAGTGTAAGGGTGCGAACCGTCATATGTTGGTATTTTGCCATAGGAGCGGAGTGGTAATGAATGGTTTGTCCAGGGCAATTGGTGTCAATTGCTGGCTGGCAACTTCTGTAAAGAAAATGTGGTAACATTCATGACAACTGGGACCTCTTCTATGGCAGAAATGACATGTATGCCAGGGATGGGGGGTTCACTTATTAGGTTGGGGGTGGTAGCACTTGGCACTGCCACTGGACGGGAGCAGTTAGGGTAACTTTAAACTAGGGAATAGTTAGTGGTGGTATGGGTTTGGCAGGTAAACAGTGAAGTCCCTGGGGTGTATATTATTACGAGTTCTTAGGGGAACTAGTTATAAGCTGAACGAGGTAGATATTGAAAAGCCAGGGATTTGGGGGATAAAGGACAGTAATAGGTTTCTAGTGTAGAAAAACAGAAATGAGCTGGAAGGTAAGAGAATGGAGAGTCTTTCAATGTTTATTATGTAATTGCCGATTGTGCTAGGAATTAGATGGACGAGTTTGAGATTAGTTGCTAGTGAGGTAACATTGATGTATTTGCCTTAACTGAGACGTGGTTAATTCAAAAAAAGTCGGGACTTGCCCTGCGGAATGTCATATTCCGGGTTTTTTAATTGTTCCAAGTAGATAGAAGTATCGGGAAGGGGGTTGGGTGGCAATTGTATGTCCGAGATCGCTTGAAATGTTGCATAATAAACGGGTATTATGTCTGAAGGTAACTCTTACAGTGTTGTTTGGATAGATTTTTCAGATGGGGCATTGAAAAATACTGATTTTAGGAGTGATATACCGTCCCCCAAACTTAGATAGGGACCAAGGGAGACTTACTATGGGAGGAAATTGTTAAGGCCAAAGCACGATAATGTTAAGTAGGTAATTCTATGGAGAATTAACTTTAGTCATATTGAATGGAATTTTTGACTGGGGAATTTTAAAATATACGGACTTCTTAGAAGTATGTTCTGGATTGTTTTTAGAAGCAGTTTGTGACAGAACTACATGGGGAAATAACCTGCTTGACTTAGTTATGGAAACAATGAATCCCTTGTTAATAATTTAGATTTCAGAGGAAACTGGGTGCATAGCGACCTCAAAATCTATTACTTTTTGCATGAAGGGAAGTACGGATGTAGCGATAAACTCAGTAACAGTCCCAGATTTTCGCTTAGACAGATTACGATGGGCTTTAGAAAACACTTATCACTGTTGACTGGAGTAACGAGTGAGCTATCATTATGACAGTTTTCTGAAAAAACACTATACATGAGGCTCAAAGAACGTTTATCCCATACAAAGAAGTAGATCAAATAGAAATGACCCAAAATGATGAAATAATAGGCTCAAATATCTACTAGGGCATAAGAATGGAATTTATAAGGGTAATCAAAAGAGGGTGAGGGTCATCTTAGGAATCAGTATATTGACATTAAGAGGGAATTAATAAGGGGATAAAGGAAAAGCTAAAGGGACTATGAATTAAAAGTTGCTAGGGATTTCTAAAACTAACCCTAAAAGTTTTTCCAGGTCTATAGAACAAAAAGTTAGAGATAAGATAGGTCCCTTAAAAATAATATGGACACCTTACTGACAAAGTGAATGAAATGTGCTCGATTTTTAATATTTATTTTATCTCAGTTTTTAACAGGAGAAAGACACTAAACAATTATTCCAGTAATTAAATTTTTATAGTAGGGCTACAGAGGATAAATTATGTAACATCACCCGTCACTAGTGAAATGGTTTGTGAAGCAGTAGACAGGTTGAAGCAAAATAAGGTCGCGGGTCCTGATGAGGTTTTTTCAGGGGTTCTTAAGGAATGCAAAATGGAAAAAACTCTGTGAAACCATTATCTAATATCTTTTAATTGTCTCTTCTAATATGTGTAGTGTTCTGATATGTGGAGATGGCTAATGTGCAAGTCCTATTTTTAAAACAAGGGACATAGTGTTACCGCCAAATTACCGCCCATAAGCCTATGGCCTCAATTGTAGGCAAATTATAGAGTCAATTATAGCTGAGATTATAAAGAAGCCATCTCGATTAAGTCATACCTTGATTAATGATACTCAGCATGGATTTTCAAAGTGGGCCGGTTTCTTGTCTAACTAATTTATTAAACTTTCTTTCAGTCAAGCTTTTGAGGGGACTGTGGACCACGATAAGTAATTTGATATTATTTACTTAGATTTTAGTAAGGCTTTTGATAGAGTCCGCTCCATAGACTGTAAAGAGAGTGGCACCTCATGGCATTGGGGGGGGAAAAGTGCCCTCGGGATCGAAGTCATGGCTCACTGACAGGAAGCAGAGTGTGTCCATAAATGGGGTTAAAATCGAGGTGGGGAATCTGTAACAAGTGGGGGCGTTCAACAGGGATCAGTCTTGGGCCCATTGTTGTTTATAATATATTTTTTTTTTTCAAGATCTTGAGAGGGAATTTATAGTGATATGAGCAAATTCGCGATGGACACAAAGATAGGTAGGATAATTGACTCAAACGTTGATGTTATGGAACTTCAGGAGGATTTAAATAAACTCTATTCTTGGTCAGAAAAAGTGGCAGATGCAGTTCAAGTAGATAAATTGCAAGGTTTCTGAAGCTGGGAGTGCCATAACCTAGAGTACTTATAAGTTTAATGATGTAGAATTTATGCATACAGATTGCGAAAAGGACTTGGGGTTATGGTGAGCAGCAACCTTAAACCTAGAACAGCAATGCCATAAGTGTTAGTAATAAGGCAAATCGATTACTGGATTTTATATCAAGAAGGGTAAGCACAGAAGCCAGAGGTCATACTGCAGCTTTATTCATCATTAGTAAGGCCTCCCTAGATTATGCAGCCTCAGTTCTGGTCTCCATATTACAGATGGACATAAATTCGTTAGAAAACATCAGCGTTAGGATGACTAAAATTAATACATAGAATTAGAAATCTTCCTTATGAAGAAAGGAATGAAGACTCTTAAGTTGCATAACTTGTTAGACGAAGAATGAGGGGAGACTGACGAAGTGTATAAGTGGAGATAGGTAATTAATAAAGGGGATATTATAAGGTCTTGAGGATGTTTTTCTCCAAGAGAGAACCCGCAGTAAGGATTTTAAATTAGAATAAGTTTAGAGGTAGAAAGGACTAGGAAAGTTTTGGTTTGGAAATAGGGTAGTTGATGAGTGGAACAGTCTACCTAGTTGGGTTATTGAGGCTGGGACTTTGGGTAGTTTCAAATCTAGGTTGGATAAGTACATGAGTGGGAGGGGTTGGATTTGAGTGGGACTTTCACATCAGAGCTTATTTCTTGGGTGGCATTGAAAATTGGGTTGGGCAAATGTTTTGTTAGTGGGATGAATTGTAAAGGACCTGCCTAGTATGGGCCAGCAAGCCTCCTGCATTGTTCCTCCTTTCTTATGTTCTTATGTTCTTTGTCTTTTAATGCCACTAGGACCAGCTTGAGAGTCACTGGACCCCTGTCTCACTACATAACTGTAAAGAGTGCTCTGTTTCTGGCATCTTTAAGATTTCCCTGAAGTGGGACAAGGTTTTGTCACTGAACATGTTGCAGACATGGCTTGTTTCAGCTTGGTCAGGGTGGCTGGCTGGCTGGCTGGCTGCTTGGCTGGCTGGCTGGCTGCTTGGCTGGCTGGCTGCTTGGCTGGCTGGCTGCTTGGCTGGCTGGCTGCTTGGCTGGCTGGCTGCTTGGCTGGCTAGCTGCTTGGCTGGCTGCTTGGCTGGCTGGCTGCTTGGCTGGCTGGCTGGCCGGCTGGCCGGCCGGCCAAAAAAAGTGGGCAAAACCAGAAGCGGCTGATTCCCAGGGTTTCACTGTATGACAATTTTGAAGTACGATTCATCTTCTGGAATTGATTAATATCATTACTCCCAGGATCGCAGTATTACAGGCCAGTGATTGCAGGTGAGCATCACCCGAAAGTACAGTGGAGGACCCCATTTAACGATATTTTTTCATTCAGAAGTATGTTCAGTGCAGTAACTTGACCGAATTGTTCCCATAGGAATATTGTGAAGAGATTAGTCCATTTCAGACCCCCAAAACATACACTGTACAAAGCACTTATCAGAAATACACTTACATAAATTGGTCGCATTGTTAGGAGGTGATCGGTAAGCGGGGGGGGTCCACTGTACTGGTTGTGTGGTTCCTCATTTGGGTCGTGTTCTGACATGCCCCACACGACATCCAAGAAGCGCCTCTAGATAAAAATGTCTGACTAATTATAAACTAATAACATACCTAGAATTGATTGTTTTGTTGTCTGATTCTTTCACTCACTGTGACACAGGTTTTTTATGATTACTGCAATAATCTGTTGGTTCAGTGGCTTCATGACTGTGAGGTTGGCCCTTTCTTTGATGATTGGCCAAGAACTATCTGGACTTGAACCCCCATTGAGACCTAGGGCTTCAGATAAAGGGAAGATCTACTAGAAAAATGGATACCAGGCTTACACCCATGGGCTTTAGGACTCCATCTGTGAGTCGTGGGGGAAAGTTACCCAGTGACATGAAGAAAAACAAAAAAAGAAAAAAAAAAAAAAAAAAAAAAAAAAAAAACAAACAAAAAAAAAAAAAATAAAAAAAAAAAAAAAAAAAAAAAAAAGAATGTGTTTTAATCACTTCCTAGACAGTTGAAGGATGTCTTAAGGCAGAAAGAACAACCTGTTTTATGGTCGTGAATTTAGAGGGGGTCCAGTGTACTTGAGTGACGAGCACTGTTGTCTCTGAAACACAAAATGAACAGAAATCTGAAACAAAATTTATTCTGCAGACTCAGTTTTGTATTAGTCATGGTTTTGAGTTTCATATGATCTCTAAAAACATTAATCCCCCATGAATTTGTATGGACACCTGTTCAATATACGTAATGTACAAATCTGATAAGTTATTAGTCAACATACTTAATTCATATCCTGAGACACTGCTGCCGTTCGACGCTGTTGCGACTTCTCATGAAAATATGCCAACTGTTTTATATTACTGTATTTGCTTTATTTGTCTACAACAAAATGAACAAGAATAATTGTTTTTCAGGATCATGCTGAAGATCTGCTGGTGTTGAGATTCAGCCCACCTAGTCTGCAGAGGTAAATTTGTCTTTGATCTCTTCACTTTATACTAGTAACTTAGTAGAAGGGCTGCTCATTTAAAAGCCTGCACAAAGTTTTCCAGTGTTATTACCACCAAATCCCCTTATAATGGGGTGCCTTGATGCTGTTAAAAAGCTGTTGATTTGAGGGATTGGAGCTCTCCACCCTTGGATCATTCCTCATTACCTCCCATTTCCCAGGCACTGTATGACCCCCTGTGGGTTTAATGCTTTTCCATGGTTGTATTATAATAATAATAATAATTGCCACTGAATTATTGGCTGAAGTATTTTAGATGCTGGTATAGCTTAACCCTTAAATGGTCCAAACGTATATATACGTTTTTTCAACATCTGAAAGTATGTAAAAAATGTAGATCTTCTTTTTTGTTTTACATTTGAAAACGTGTAAAAAAAAAAACTTTTATCTACATTTTTTTTGTTATATTTGAAAATATGTATAAAAAAAGTAGATCTACTTTTGGAGCACTACGAATTTGAACGTCGATCTGTTTGAACCGTTTAGGGGTTAATAGCTCAAGAACTTTAGTATAAAAATTGAACTGGAAGTAATTAGATAAAAGCCAAAATTTAAATAGCTGCTAAATTGTATATTTTATTAAAATTTAATTTAGTGAAAAGTTGTTCAGATTCATGTCTGTTATTAACTATGTTATTGCTCAATTAGTATTAGGTTTTAAGGAAAAAAATAAAGGCAAAGCTTTTATTACAAAAGAGGACTATTACAGAACTGGTCATCTAAATGAAGAAATGTGCTTCAGTGTAGAGAAAATAATTTGCTTTCTAGTTATATATACTATTTTATAATTATATTTAAAGCTGTAATATTGTCATGTCTGAGGGCAGTATGTGGTGTGAATATAATGTGGAGAATTCATTGTTTGGAAATTAGGAGGAGGTGAGGGATTACCAAAACTATTATCCAGAGGGCTGAGGAGGGGTTGTTGAGAAGGTTCGGACATGTACAGAGGATGGAACAAAATAGAATGACTTAAAGAGTGTATAAATCTGTAGTGGAGGGAAGGTGGGGTAGGGGTCGGCCTAGGAAAGGTTGGAGGGAGGGGGTAAAGGAGGTTTTGTGTGCAAGGGGCTTTGACTTCCAGCAAGCATGCATGAGCCTGTTAGATAGGACCGAATGGAGGCAAATGGTTTTTTTGAACAATACTTTCTGTTGGAGTGTGAGCAAGGTAACATTTATGAAGGGATTCAGGGAAACCGGCAGGTCGAACTTGATTCCTGGAGATGGGAAGTACAGTGCCGGCACTTTGAAGGAGGGGTGTTAATGTTGCAGTTTTATAACTGTAGTGTCAGCATGCCTTTGGCAAGACAGTGATGGAGTGAATGATGGCAAAAGTTTTTCTCTCTTGGGTCACCCTGCCTTGGTGGGAGATAGCCAGTGTGTTAATAATAAAAAATAATATTTCAGACATTGGTATGTTTAAATTAAATATAAGCAGACAACCAGTGACAAAAGTTGTTTGGGCTTATATGCATACAAAGTGTGCAGTGATATAAATAAGGTAAATTGTAATAATTTTATATTTCAGGTTGGCTATAGAGGCTGTTTGTAAACATGAAGTGAAGCTTCGGGAGCAGTGGCATCTGCTACCTCACACACTACAGCATATCCTTGAAGTTCGCACCTGTTCTGACAGAATAAGTTAGCAGTTCACAGTAAAGCAGTGTAATAGCAACCAACTTTGTCCACACATCAGCCCAAAAGCCCTCTTTTCCCAAAAAACTTGTTCATACTCGCTGACTCTTTCATTACCTCATCCTCCAGATATTTACTACCTATTGCCCTTTATTATCATCATCATCATAGCTCTTAACTTAGTTATGATAATTGTCTCAAGATTAGCATATTTTTGAATTTTCAGTTATTTCCGTATCTCAAATTGTCACAGCCAAAATTGCAACAATTATGAAGTAAAACTAGGACAAAAAGCTTAAAAGGTATATAGAACTTACCACTCATTGCAGTTATACCTTGTGTAAGTACATCATTGTAAAAGGCATTAAAATTTGTAATTTCAGCATAATGTACAGTTGTACATTTTGTGGTAGAGACTAGGTTAAGTAAGTGATGTGTACACTGAATTTTCTTTCCCAATTATTTTGATAGAGTTGTTGTTGTTGTTGTTGTTCAGCATTTCAGCCTCATATGAGAGAATAATAAATGGAATTATAAAACTATGAAATAAAGCTTTAGATTTTTTTTAATAAATTACATAAGTAAAACTTCGGTAGAATCATTGGCAGCTTTCTTGAGTTTTCTGGTGTTTTTCATTTTTACTAAAGATTTCTCTCCTCTACCAATTCAGTCTCACTTTTTATTATGGTTATCAATCACCAGCTTATACAACAGTTGTCAAATTATCTCCTGAGTAAATGTATAGTATTATAGGTGGCATGGAAATGTATATTTAATTAATGTAATACTGCATATATAATAACTTTGTTAATTTAAGCATCATGTCGGGTACTTGGAGTTTGTGGGAGTATTTTTTTTTTTAATCACACATCGGTTGTTTCCCACTGAGGCAGGGTGACCCTTATGGGAATTGTATATTCATTATAAAAATGTACAACTAAAAAAGTAAATAATATATTTTAAATTTTTATGGTACTATAATGACTTGCTGTCTCTGCCACCAACCACCTCACTCAAGTATTTTGGACACTAATCACATGTTTCTCTTATTCATACTATAACCTTTTACACTTGCAAGACAATGGTTGCATTACGTATCAAGTACTATGCATAGATTGCTTTAATGTTGGAAGTTTGTGCAAATTTGAAACAGGTTTAATACGGCAGCTATGGCAGCCTTTGTAATTCTATCGGCAAGCCTTCTTCAACACACCTTTCTGGTTGTCACACACTTTCTCATTTTTTATTATCTTCATCACTTGCCAGTCTGCAAGACAATAATAGACCTTCATTCTGAATCTTAAAATATTTACTCTGTTAATTCCATGCAAAAATAAAATAAAATAGCTGTTTACAATCTTTTGTCATCTATTTTAATCACCTGCACAAGAACCGAGTTTTTTGTAGTGCTGTTTTGCTAATGGGGGGGGTGGGGTTGAGAATGAGGTTTACTTTCAAGCTTCAGTTTTTATCTTAAAAACTAATAAAGTTTGGGTTCACATTACAGAAATTCACTGAAGTATTCATTTCACCATTGTAGATTCTGTCTTTAGTTTTGAAATAAGGGGATTAATATTAATATAAAGAATGGTTTATGAGAGAAGGTTACTCTAGTAAATTTTATTAGCGTGCAGTTTTTATTGCTTATTTATGCCTGACTAACTATTTCGTATCTTGGTATTGTAATATTCAATATCACCAGTATAACTGAACTTTTAAATTTACAGGTTTTAGGTTCCTAAAGGTCCCCATGAATCCAGAATCTGAAAATACCTTTGAATTCTGTCTGTATGTTTTGCTGTAAATTTGGACTCGTTTTGTGTTTGTCAGTCTCTTGATATTGCTTTAATTTTATTAATATGAGGGGTATGGGAAATCCAGTGTGTATGTTTATAAAGAAGTCCTGTTATTGATTGTCAATTTAATGGTAGTGCATCAAGCAAAAATAAAATGGTACCATGAAAAAGTGAACAAGTGAAGGTGAATGCCTGAGGCCGTTTTGTAAAAATGTTATTTAACTGAAGCATGTAAGTTGAGAGCAGGTCTGCTGTGATCTCGTAGTGCTGAATTCCATGCATTTTATTATTTTTCATTGTTGAATCAGAACATTCTACTATATACTGTGTAACATGTAGATGATCAACAAAATTACCCATCATTTTTAATATGACACTTTTGAATATGCTTCACATAATGCTGACCCTTCTGTTAGGCTTTTTTTTTTTTAAGTTATGTCCTATGCTTCACTCATCGCTTTGCTATAGTTTGTTCCTGAAGTAAATGAGTAACATCCTCCAGCTTTTTTTAGTATTTATGGGAATGCCAACACTAGGTACAGTGCTATGATACCTGTGCTGCCAGGTGTAAGTTGCCCATTTCTTTTTATTTTCCAGGACTTGAGTCCTGGATGGGAAGTACAGTGTCTGCACTCTGAAGCAGTTTTTTAACTGTAGTGTAAGCATGCCTCTGGCAAGACAGTGACAGAGTGAATGATGATGAAAGTTTTTATTTTTCAGGCCACCCTGCCTTGGTGGGAATCGGCCAATGTGTTAATAAAAAAAATATAATAATATGGAGATGGGAAGTACAGTGCCTGCACTCTGAAGGAGGGGTGTTAATGTTGCAGTTTAAAAACTGTAGTGTAAAGCACCCTTCTGGCAAGACAGTGATGGAGTGAATGATGGTGAAAGTTTTTCTTTTTCGGGCCACCCTGCCTTGGTGGGAATCGGCCAGTGTGATAAAAAAAAAAAAAAAAAGAATTTGCATTCATTAATGAAAATTAAGAGTTCTGTATAACAAATATAAAGTTTCCTTAGCATGGTAGATTAGGCAGAAATAAATGATTAACAAAATTAAAGAAAATTGAACTCTAATTAAAAGGCAGGTTGGGGGTGGAAGATGAAGGAGAGGAGGCAATGCTATGTTCCTGCTGTTTCGTTAATAAAAATTCTTTTAATGTGTGTAAAAAGTCATGGAGGGGCATCTAACAGTTATGTATATAGGGCACATGCTGTACTGCATATATGAAATGATTTTTTTACAAATGAAATACAGGGAATTCTCCCTTCAGTAGGATGTTCAACCTGGCTTGTAAGTCACCAGTTAAAAATAATTTTTTGGAGACCCAGAGCATCCTCTAACCCAGAAGTTTTCAAACTTATTGAAGTCAAGAAACCTGTATATTAAAAAATTTCTTGAGCATTGATCAAAAAGTAAAAGTTTAATGATGTAAGACAGATGGTAATGAGATGCAGTCTACACTAATTTATGTAATAGTACAGTAGAAGAAATGTACATATGTATATAGTTGTGATTTTCATAAAATATACAAGTGTAGAAATTTACAAGTAAAAAAAATACAGTAACTGATTTATGTAGTATAAAATAAATAAATACAGTACTATAAAAATAGCATGTTGTAGAATTAAAGATAGTAATGCAAAATAATTAAGAGAATTTCTTTAGCACACTGGCCGTCTCCCACTGAGGTAGGGTGACCTGAAGAAATAAGTGTTAGTTAACTGGATGCTATTTCTTATCCTTGGATAAAATTTTAGTATTTGAAGCACTGGATGTTACCCTCAAGAATTTTCTTTATTTAGCCTACTTCTATATTTAGTTTTTGTTGCATTATATAAAGAGAAGACACACTTGCAGAGATATGGTGTAAAAAAGGAGTAAGATATTTTAAAGTTTGTGTGGCAACTTCAGTGCTGTATATTCTTTTAACACCTGAATCCAGAAGCTAAAAAGTTCAGCATAATGAAGTTTTGTTTTTAAGATTGACGGTATCCAAGATATTGAAGCTGTACCTTCACTTTTAACCCTTTGAGGGTCGACAGGCCCTCTCCGAAACTCGTTCTCAGGGTCGGCCAAATTTAAAAAAAAAAAAAAATTATTTTCTCTTATGAAAAGATAGAGAATCTTTTCCCGATCATAAAGACACCAAAAGTTTGAAATTTGATAGAAAACTTACGAAATTATGCTCTCGCAAAGTTAGCTGTCTCGGCGATGTTTACGCATCGGCGATTTTGCCCACTTTGAGCCCCATTTTCGGCCAATTTCACTGTACTAGTCGACAAAAAACATGAATATTCCGCTAGAACTCCATTTTTTCTATCGAATGAGTGCAAGAAACCACCCATTTATAAATTCAACTATCCAGTACAGTGGTCAGAATTTAGCAATTTTGCCAATTTCACACAAATTTCAAAAGATGCCAATTTCCGAATAGGGTCCAGAATAAACAAGAAAGACATTCCTGGCACTAAAATGACATTTCCTCTAGTCATTAGTCACGTCTCAAGGCCCCTCTTATATTCTTTTGCTTTCCACTTTGAATTTTTATTCTCACAAAAAATATAAGATTTACTGTTATGCAGACTACTGCATTAGTGTAAAAAATGGTATAAATATTATTGGTGCACTTGTGAAAGAATATTAGACTCACCAGTTGACGTGTATTGCACGCTTGGCACGATTTGTTTACTTTTGAAGTTTGGTAAAAATCGAACATTTCTGCTACTTTGAGCTCAATTTCAAGGCACCTTTCATTGTAAAACCAGTCAAAATCATCTCAATTTCTGTAATATGTCTTCCATTCTATAAAATGAGACCAAGAAAACTAGAATACAACAATAAATACCATACGAAAATACACTGCAAAGTCGCTGATTTATTAAAAAAAAATGGTCAAAGTTTTTTTTTTCTCATTATGCACTGTGTGCTGCAGGATTTTTTTTTAGACTGTGCACACTGACCACATAGACCCATTCTTTCATATGAAGGCCTACCAGTTTTCTCTCACTAGATTTGAGGCCGCTAGAATTTATGAGTACTAGTACGTCAAAAACCCCTACGCGTAAGACGTACTAGTACGACCAAAACCCTCAAAGGGTTAATGGCAATTCAGTCATAGTTACATATGCAACAAAAAGTTTTGGAACCTAGTCAGTGTTTATGTTGGAGGAAAGTTTATTTCCTGCTTAAAGTATGCAAATTAGAAAAATAAAATCCCCAAATTTTGACATGTACAGTGAGGACAGCTTCATTTTTTATGAAAAAAAAATCACTAGGATAGAATCATACCCAAAGTTTGAGTATCAGTTTAATTGCATCTATTTTACTATGAAACATTTAAATACATTTAAACAGTAAGTTCATTGAGATGGGTAAATATGTCAGGCAGGTTTGCCACTTCATGTATTCAATATTTGTTGTGTGTGTGCTAGTTCAAGAGGACACTGCTGTAAGACTTTTATGTTATTGCAGCTCATAAAACTGAGCCAACACTGGCAAAATAGCCACTGAACCTCTGTATAAAGCACTAGAGTTGTATGTAGACTTTCAGTTTCTTCACATAGTGTACTAAACATCCTGGACTTGAGTAGTTTTGCTTTGATGAAATTGCACCTCTTTTAGTTCTTATGCCAGTGTATTTATTTAACTGCAAGTGTAAGATGATGATGATAACTGGAACATAAATACCAGGATATTTTGTGTTTCTTTAGGAACAAGTTGATCAATGTGAATATTTCTGATGATGTGGTTTTAGTAGGAAGTAGTTTGCAAATATGTATACATATTTCTTCAATAGAAAATTCATATATAGAATGTACAGACACAATTCAACTTCAGTGGATTATCTTGTCTCCTCTCTGCTCCTCACCCTTAAGATATCCACCTCATCCCTGGGTTCCAACACTCTCCTACTCATTCTTACCACTGCTTCAGCATTACCATCATGGTGCCTAGAAACTATCATTTGTGTTTTCTCAGAAGAAAATGTAACCTGTCATTGTTTTTGTTCCAGGCTGATATAGCTATAAGCTAGTGATTGATGTACTACCTGAGAGCAGCTGGTATTTCCTCTTTGGAATAAGTAAATGTCAGAGAACAGCCATCTGCATAGACTTGAGATTTTGGGATAAGCTGAAGATCCTTAAAGTAGATATTCCATAACAGTAGCACAAACACTCTTCCCTGTGGAACACTGGCACTGATTGTCTCGTTGACCCATTCAAAACTACTCTTAGAGATCTACCTTGAATATAATCACTAAGGAGGCATAAAGCAGAGCTAGGTGGATTCATCCATTAACTGGTGCCACATAATGAGATTGTCTCCAGAATCTTACCAGTGATTGACAGGAGTGATACTGGTCTGAAGTTATTGATTTCCACTCTGCTCTTCTTTTTGTAAACAGGGACTACATTTGCCTCTTTCCACAGAGAAGGCCATTTACACTGTGCTAGGCAGTGCTGATAGATGCAAGTTAGAGGCGATGCTAGCTTGTTTGCATATTTTCTCGGCAATCTTGGGCTCGCCTTATGTGGGCCCACAGCCTTTTCCTTGGTCCAGGG